CATTTCTATCCGCTTCCCCGTGCCAAAAAGATCAGCAGTGTGTTCCTAAAGAGGACTGCTCAGTCGCTCAGGGGTTTTTGTTGGCCTCCACTATTGCTCCCTTACAGTGGTGAAACACTCAATAACCTGATCCACCTATGTGCAGATTTGCGCCTGCAAGTTAAATCACTTTGTAGATAATGAAAATATAACAAGGATCAAATGATATTTAAAATGAACTGCGGTAGGTGAATTATATTTAGATGAGGATGAGGTGCGCGATTTGTCAACCTAAATCTCTCGCCAAACACCATCTGTGTCTAGCAGCAAGACTAGGTCGAGACGGCATGCGACGGTATTGTATGTAGTGAATGACCATGGCGTTCTAAACATTTATCTTGTCATGCTCTGAGGGATCAGTTTCGCGTTGCAGTCTCCACTTACCTGCTTGTTGACCAACTAGTGGTTCCTCCATGGAATCCTCCAGATATAGACCCTTTTACCCAAGACTTAAAATTGTTTGGCTAACCTCAACCTGGGTTTGCCAGTGAGTCGAATCCATTTTGCATGGTATGGCCGCTATGCATGATACTGCTTCTTGAGAACACAGGTGGGAGCTTGGAACCATAAGGGGACCAGAGATCCATTAGCTAGCCGAAAAGAGTATGACTGCTTCGCAAACAGTAGTGTCATTCCTCTATAAAGTACCCCATACACCATAACAAATATAAAGTCCAAATGTCATCCCTTTACTGGATTGTTAGAATTTTTTACCTATTTTAATGTTCCAACGTTATTTGTTAAAATGTGTACCACATAGTGTACTTTATGCAAAACACCAATTTAGCTAGCGTAACACTTTTTTTTTTTAAAAAAGGTGCTGCAGAACTCAAAGGGACGTGGCCAAGAGCACTGCGGTATTTTGCTTGGATTTTGATCATAGTAGCTATTGGCGCCAGCAGCTTTTTTATAATTCTCTACAGCATGGAGTGGGGCAAAGACATTACTGAAGAGTGGTTATCTACATTTTTTCTGTCTTTTTTGGAATCTTTGTTTGTGGTGGACCCGGCCAAGGTATGAAATGTTTCAAAATATTTATTCATACATTTTATTAACAATTTGGTGTTAATTTACTCAAAATGAAGAATTTTTTAAAAGGCTAATTGATTTTTTACGAATTTTTTTTTTTTTTAAATAATGATATTGTTAATTGAATAAACCGTAAAGCGTTCGTAAAAACATAAAATTCCCTTTTAACAAAATAGTTACAAAATATTCTTTATTGTTTAATTATAAAATTGTACGTTTTAGCTCCTTTTGCATGTATATTTGATCAAAATTGTTCCCAGGCCTCCGATAAAATTGTGATTCAAATTCTCTCATTTAACAAGGAAATACATTTCATTCTAATATTTCAGGTACTGGTAATATCTGTTATGGTCTCCATCGTCATAAGAAAAGCAAAAGTAAAAGGTATGGATGAACTCAATCTCGATTTCATTTCGCAAGTCAACAGAGAATATGGCATTATACCAAGTAAGTGATGGGTTTTATAACTGTACATTTTTAATCTGCTCGAGATGTTATGAAAATATCACACGATGCCATTTATTACTTTAAACACTAGATTGCTCGGCTCTAAGGAATTGCTGTCACATAATCGAGAGGAAAACTAGTCCCCATTTTATTCCTTTAAAAAGTCAGTGAATTATTAAATATAATGAGATGATTTCAACACTGCCCGCAGATTGTTTGATGTTGGTCCATACAGGTTTTATCTCTGACAATGCCACAAACCACTGGTTTGCGGTAACGTCGCCATACCAAGTGAACAGCAAGATCTTCGGGAGTCCAATATTTTCCTTCGGTTGCCCTGGCGAACTGTTTAGATTTTTCTAAATATACAAAATGAACTTAAAATGTTAATATGCATAGATAAAAAGCCGCATGGTACTCACCCACTGACTTATCACCTGATCCAGAGGCGTAGCTAGGGGAGGGCAGGGGGGACAGATGTCCCCGGGCGCCAAACACCCTCGCTACGCCGCTGACCTGATCTCATGAATAACAACCCCTATGAAGTTACCATTTTGCATGGTGATTCCTCTTATACTTTAGGCGTGCACTGCCAAGTTTGTTTGTCTCTGTTGGTTTTATTTTTTGTGCTGAAATTCAGCAAATAAGTGGCTTAAAATGGCCAAAGCCCGAAGTCATTCCATGGTTCATTATTCGTTTTGTCAATATATTTTGTTCGTGTTTTGTGGTCACGTTCTTTGGCCTGTGTTTTGTATGTGCCCTATTTTATATATTTTTTTTTTTCGAATAATGCGTATCCAACAAGAATATATATTTTTAAGTTCTTAAACCTTTTATCTTAGGTTAAACATCACACACCGATTTAGACACTTCAATCTTTGATTAGTGCTTTGAACGTGACACCTTTTTAGATCTTTAAACAGTAAAAATAAAAAGTTTGCGACATCTCCTTACCTTATTATTTGAAGAAAAAAAAGCCAAAGGCCATTCACGGACTCCCTCACTTAGAGATTATAAGATCTAAAGAACAATCACCATGAAGTTTAAATTCTGCAAGATGGTTTCTTTTATAATCTAGGGATGCGCTGAAAAGTGGTTTTGTTTTTGTTGAAAATAATGATTAATATGTAACGAATATGTAAGACAGACTGGCCTGTTTCCACGGGAATGCATGCTGATGAGGTCAAAGTCTGTATTAAGTAAACCCAAATTAAGCCTTAATTTAGTCCGATGTTTGAGAGTCAACTTAAGGGTTCATCTAAAATCCGTTTTGGTGGATACATAGAGCTTCTACTATATAATCTAATCGTTGATTTATCTATAATCCATGACGATCAATATATTTCAGAGAACATTTTTTTTTTAAAATTTCTCATGCAGTTATGTTGACACTATTCCTGCACTTTAGATTTCAAAAAGAAAAAAATCTTAAATGTTTTAAAACACTCAAACATTTTTTTTACTTTTATTATTCGTTTTATTATCTCTAGTATCGTTGCGTAGCAAGATTATACAGTCAGCTCAATATTAAGAGAACTAGCTTGTTACCTAAAACTAAATTGTGGTTAAAAAAGTATTAAAAGTGTAAAAGCGTTAATATGTTGTCGGCATATTTAATCCAGTATGTCAATATATTTTCAGAACCAGAAATTTCCCGTATTTATAGCACACAATCGTCCACAATCTCGCAAGCAGAGCTCAAAGCTGCAACGATGAAGAGAAAACTTCATGTAATGATCAGAAGTACAATAAAAGAATTTGTTATTCATTGTTTCTACCTCATTGTTGTGTGCAGTCTCTGCTATTCCAATCGCAGTGATGGGGATCATCTCATGTACAATGTGATTTCCAATGCACTAATTCAGAGTACAACCAATAAATCTGGATTTAACGATGTAAGTAATTTCACTTTTTATGGGAACCAATTAGGCAATTTTGTATCCAACTTGTTCAAACAAATTAAATGTGATAATGCTGAATGCATTTTAATTTTAATTCTTCATTTAGGTCAACTCAAGTAGCGGCTACTTTGAGTGGCTTAATTCAACTTTGAGGCCATGGCTGTTTCCAGGAAATACTAAGATATATGAGCCGAATGCTGCAGATAAGAAATATTACACTGAGGAAATGAGCCTTTATCGTCTTGGTGAACCAAGAATAAGACAGCTTCGAATGAAGAAAGGTTTCAAATATTTAGTTTTGTGTGTCTAGTATAGTAATTTGGTGTGTGTAATATTTTAATTTGTTGTGTGTAGTATTGTCATTTGGTTTGTACAGTATTGTAAGACAATTAAATGATATATGTATATATGTATATATGTATAGATGTATAGATGTATATATGTATATATATATATATATATATATATATAAATTAATTTGCTGTCTTTACCACGATTGCTGTGTGGTTTTTAACCTTAATTGTTTGTTAAAATACCAACAGCAACGAATTACAATTTAAAAATATCTTCATTTTAGAATAATATTTAATGTACTATTTCACTGTCCTGGTAAGTAAGCATTCCATAAATTAAAACAACACATTTGAATAGGCCTATCTGAGACAATCCCCGTATCTTATGGTTTCTTAAGAAAATTACGGGGAAGAATAATTTGTTATAAAATCATTATTTGGTATAGCGATGAATCCATACTCATCCGCCTTGTGTCTTCAAAATATCAACCCCCTACCACACATAGTACACCAAGTATTAAGGGTCAGGTCTCCTACATTATAGAAAAAACATTCAAGACTCTACGAGTGTTATTACTGCATATAAGGTGTTTTAGGTGATTTCCGGTTTGTTTCACAGCAAATTTCTTTACATTTGTCAAAAAATGTAAAGAGAAAAGCCTCCACTGTATCTTCTATTAGAAATAGGTTCATAGGTTTCGAAAAAGATGTAAAAAATCCTACGTACTTAAATACTTAACGTTACAAAATTGGCATTAACAAGACAAAGTTTCTCACATCGCACATATAAATGATTGTTCTAACTTAATTTCTCATTGCAATATGCTAACTTTCTCACAGTCGGCGTAACATCTCTATAATATATATATAATGTATACTATAAAAAACGGCTTTGCTCCCTGCATCAAAATCTTTAAAATCTTTGAGGCTCTCTCGAACTCACACAGCTTTTATTTATACTAGTGTGTTCAATGCCCAGCCAATTGATCACTGTTTTATAAGTATATAAGAGTTGCTCATTCAGTGTTAAGAAGAAAAAAGAGAAATTTAATTTCAAGTGTGCTCTAATTATTATTATTTTTGAAAGTTCTGGAAAAAAAAATTCAGAACGTTACCTACTAATTTAACAGATATGTTGAAAATTCACATTTCAGAGGACTGCTTGTATAAAGGAATCAAGCTTCACAAGTGTGTTGCAGGATATGATGTCACTAATGAGGAAACTGGAAATTATTGTTTAGGATGGTCTCCCTTGCCATGCACGCATGTTCAGACTTTTAGTTGGTCCAGTAAATCCTGGAGTTTTCAGTCCGCCCAATCCATTTGGGGAATCCCCATAGCTGGTAGTTACAGTCTGTATGGAGGTGGAGGTTATCTCATAGCTTTTGATCAAAACGTGAGTTGACATTGATATAATAGTTATATTGACTTATTAAAATATGAACAGGACTAATTTCATTAAAAATAAAAATATGTTAAATGATTTAAAATTTAAAACTATTTAAATTTAACAGATTTGTTGATGTATGTCTACTATTTTATGAACACTCCTTAACTAAATTCAGACTATAAACAACATTATAAATGAGTTCGAAGAGCACAAGTGGATCGACCGACAAACTAGAGCCGTTTTTGTTGAGTTCACAATCTATTGTCCTAACATCAATCATTTTGCTTATGTGATACTTTTGGCAGAGTTTCTAGATACTGGGGGAATTTTACCCTATTCCAAGTGAGTATTGAGCCAATACATAATTATGTTATGCGCATAGCTAGCTCATTAAATTTTAAAAAAAAATAAATAAAATGAGTAAAACAGAGTAGGGTTAAACCTGAAAATATAAACGCAACAAAACAGCGAACGTGTCGGCAGAAAGCCTTTGTCGGCGAACAAAACAACAGAAAAAACGGTATAAAAATAAGAAATAGCACTTAGCTGGTAAGTAGTATCTGTGGGCAGCAATAGCATTAATTAAATTAAGCAGCTCTGAGTGTGTAGCTAGATTATGACAGAAACTCTCTTGTATAACATGATGTCATAATTGATACTTTTTCAAACGTTGATTTTACTGCAAGTCTATCAATTATTAAATGGAGAATCAGCAATACAAAAATTCTTAAAATATTGTGTCCGAGTTTACACTGGTTTTGTAATTTAGAATGAGTTAAAATCGTAAACAATAAATAAATAATGAATTAGTTTGTTGTGTACAATTATATTGAGGGATTTGACGGAGATGAGAGAGGGGATATTATATTAGAAATGCATTATATGTGTTCACTACATTAGACAAGAAATTTTGAAAGTAAATTTGAAGTGACTTGTATATATCTTTTCATTTTAATTTGATAAGTAAAAAAATATAAAAGCAATAAACAAAGTAATCTGTACAAGAATTATTTGTATATTAACATGATGTGTATTAATATAACACGATCTTCTTAAATTTCAGTATTTACCCATTCAATGTCCACCATCCTCCTGGAATTCTTGGTGCGTATGTTCAATTGTGTGAAGTTATTGGAATTATCTTTACACTGGTTGGCGTGCTCTATGCTATTTTTATCTTTGGAAAGAAAAAGTGGGCGGCACTTAAGGACCTGTGGTTTGTGGTGGATTTGTCTGCTGTTCTTGTAGGGATTTGTACAGCTTCTATGTTGTTGTAAGTATGGTATATGGTAATTTTTATTTTTACTGAGTAGATGGAGTTATTAATTAGAGCTTTATTTTTTTAATCGTCTGAGTTAAATATTATATTTTGCTTGTTCTATAAAAATGGTCAAATAAAATCTACCACAATTTTTTCTTACATGTTTTTGTCCTATATATATATAAAATAAGGTATACGTTTTTTTCCCTTTATAATGTTATTTAAATACTATGTTTTTTTATGATACATATATGCATTTTAGCTTGCGTCTGATCTACACCAAAAGTGCAGTAGCAAAAGTCAAGGAAGAAAATCAACAGTTCGTTAACTTCTACCAAGTTGTGGTCTGGGATGCCTCTTTCATGATCTGCTTATCATTGCTGATTGTTATTGGTTGTCTGAGACTGCTCAAGTTGGCTGGCTACTCTGAGAGAACAATGAAAGTAAGTCAACATATAATATTTAATTTTTTTTAAATTCTATAACTAAAACTGCATATCACAGAGCTCATAATATATTTTAAATGCAACATAAACGTTGATTAAAAACTCAACATAATTGCTATATTTAAATATAGATTAGTGCTTACTTTCTTGAGGGTTTCATTGAGAAATTAAGATTTCTTTTTTTTTTCTTTTTTTTTTTTTGGCCTTTATATCAGAAAGTTTCAAACTACAACTCATCAGAGAAAAATTTAAATCTGATTGCATTATATTCCATATGCTTAAAAGTAATGCAAACGAATAGATACCATTTGCATCTGATTTTATTATATTATATTCCATATGTTTAAGATATCTTTTCACCGATCTCAAAAATCATTTCATTTTCAGTTTTATTATTCCTTTTTTTTTTTTTGGAAAATTGTGAAATGAAAACTGCATTTAATTAAGTAAGAATATTGTGTAACAAACATATTATTTATTTGAGTCAAAAGTTACCAAGTAGTAATAAAATTTCTATTTACATTTTGTTTTAAACTTCTCTGATAATTTCGATATTAGAACATAAAACTATAATACAAATGATGCATTTTTTCAAAGCTTCTTATCATATTTACAGGTGTACACAGTCTTATCGCTGGCAGTGAAAACTTTGCCCAGTTTTTTCATGTTTATCTTCTTATTTCTTGTGGGCTTCGCTGCCATGGGATTTTTTCTCTTTAGTCGCACCAGTTATTACTTTAAAGGTTATTGGCAAACAGTAGAAACACTATTCACAGGCCTGCTGGGGCACTCAAGCTTTAAAGTAAGGATTTTTTTAAAATTAAGACTTAAATATTATGTCTAACATGAACAATTTTAAAGTGCATCCCATTACCGTGCATTGAATGTCCGCTGGCATCTTAGTTCACCATCTATTGGTTCATTGATAATTTTTAACAACTTGGCACAAAAATATAAAGTTTGAGTTCATGTAGTTTCAGGTAGATCTACTTGTTACTTGCGGTTATTTGGTTTTGCACATTTAATCTGATTTAAGATTAAGCTGGTTTGTTGAACAATATGCAACAAAAGAATTGAAATAAGAATACAAGGAAGAAAAAAACAATGCCAAAGCTAAGGATACTTAAGAAATTAAATTTAACCACACTGTAATATTTATGGAAAAAAAAAATTATACAAAATAAAAACTAAATTAACTTACAGACCAACATGTGAAAAAGTATACTTTTCACTGGCTTCAAAATTAATACACACACATGACACGAACACGCAAATATTGAAATCTTGTTAGTCTGGAAAGTCTCGAAAATCTGTCTTATGTCTAAGAAATTTAGCAAAAATATTTCCACCCTGGGAAAGCCGATGGATTATTTACAGGGAGTATTTTACTTCCTCGAGAAAAGAAAATCTAGGAATAGCATCACCCGATAGCATGCTTTATAACAAAATATAACATAAACGAACATTTCCGTATCAAGGGAGGGGAGGTTGTGGCAAAGCGCTACACATTCAATCAGTGGCGTCAATATTACAACAAATCACATACAAAAAGGTTGAGATACCTAACTCTGCTTCGAAACAAAACTAGGTCAACATAAGGTTTTAACACGTAAATTGTCTATTGCATTATGCTAACTACAAACTAAGCGCACTTGAACACTGCTGTTGCAAATATATCAGCTTTTAAAAAATACCCAAGACTGATCCTCAGTGGAGTCAAATGGTCTCTTTTATGGTTCAAGAATTTGTCACAAAAAACTACTATAAGCTCAGGTTCTCTAAATCCTGCATACATGACATTTTGGAATGAGTGGATGAAATAATTGGCCAAATCATCCGTACACTGGCCAGAGCTTGACTCTCAAATCATGGAAATGGGTCGAACATGCCAGGCATGCGCAGAACACATTAGAGACCCTAACAAAGAAAGTATCCATCCATTGGATGCTGTCATGAGAAACCATGGAGTCGAGTGCATATCGACCATGCCATCAACTTCAGAGAGAGGACATTGGCTGGTGATTGGTAGATTCTTTTTCAAAGTACACACGTGTTTCCACAGGACACCATCCACATCAAACAAAGCCACCGTTGATCTTCTGGATGAAGTACTCTGTTCCGTGACATTTCATCACGTTTAGTGTAATTGTTTGATGAAGGCTACATTTGCTAATGTAATGTTTGAAACGTTTTCAAATTTCTGTTTACGTTTAAGACTATATCAGCTAGAAAACAGGGCATACTACAGTAGTCTGAAAATACTCAAAAGTAAAAACATTAGTGACTATGGATGGAGAATGCGAACCAACCAGGAAATGTGAAGTCTAAATCAGGATCACACGCTAGTAGCAGAAATAAACAAAGAGTAGGTTAGCTCAGCGCAGCACGTAAACAAAAGAAAGATTAGATGAATGTAGAGGGTACATCACCAAAACCCCAAGAGGAAAACGGCTCATAGACAGACCTAGGTTTAGATGGATAGATAATGTTCAAAAAGATCTACAGTATTTGGGAATCCAAGCATTGAAAAGAAAGCATCAGTTGAGTCTGAGTGGAAGGAAGTAGTGAGACAGGCCAAAGTCCTCCATGGGATGTAGCACCCCGAGGATTGATCACACTTAAGACTAGATAAATATGGCCAAACACATTTTTATTTTGTGTATTTGGTTTTTTGTTTTTTTTCTTAAAGTTTAAAATAAAAGACGTATTTCATGAGTCGGCTGGTGATGACATTAGGTTTCATATCCTCATCAAATCTTACATCTTGGTGTCTCTCTTTATGATTTCAGGAAACGAATGTCCCAGCTGAAGACACCTGGATCAGTATAGTTTTTTTCTGCATGTTTGTGGGCGTGGTGGTCATTCTTCTTACAAATTTTTTCCTTGCTGTCTTAATGGACTTACTTAATACTGCAAGCGATCACTATTGTAAAGGAGAGGACACAAAAATTTTTATTGTGTTATGGGACATGTTCCTGATATTATTGGGAAGCAAGAGAGATCCACTAGACAGACTGAAAGTGGACGATCTTGGTGAGTCAAAAGGATTGTTGTCAATTTGACTGATTAAAAAAAAATTAATAAATATCTTTTCATTTTAAACCATCTGGACCATAGAACTGACTGATTCCTTGTGTTATTGTATAATTATAGATAGTTGCATGATACATTCATTATTTAAAATAAAAAGGTCTGAAAGAAATAATAGTATTGTCATATGGACTAGTATTTTTGTGCAAGTGTACAGATTTTGTGCCTATAACCTATAACAGAAAATCAGTATTAGGCATTGCCTGAAAGATTGCATACCGAACTATAGTTTGCACATTTTTTGGATATAGAGTTTTATATGAAAATATGTTGTACAATTTTAGATTCAGAAGAAGATGATATTCAACTTTATATAGATGTAGAAGAATGCATGTCGAGATTTGAGGATATTTTAACAAAGTAAGTGTAATTTGACATTAAATGCTCACATATGAAAATGTGGTCAATATAATCACACTGTAGTTTTTTAAGTAGTCTAAAGCAACATATAAGCATATTTTAAATATATAGATCCTTGGATTTTTTTCTCAAAATCTATTGTTAAATTTTCTATGAGGCATTACTTTAAAAAAAAAAATATATATATATATAATGGTCTGATTTAGTAGAACACATTATGGAAGAATCAATATGTATAGGTTTGATTTAAAATAAGTTTGAAATGAATTTAATGGAAGAAAATGAATCAATAGAAATATAAAAGTAAATTAAAATAAAATTGATGAATATGAATAATATCTTTTTACATAGCTAATAACAGAATAATCTCATATTTAAATATCTACTGATTTGAAAGAATATATTATGAGCGTTCGCGATTTAAAAGAGAAGGGGAAACCATTGGGAAAATATCTACTCTGTCTTTAGCATCAAAATACACTTGTTATCTTTTCCAGTGTGTGCCAAGATGATGATGCTGTTGAGATTATGGATCGGTCCAGAATGATGGAGGGAACAAAGAAACATGCCGGATTATTCACCGATATGGGCCTGTCAAAAACTAAAACAACTGGAAGAGACGAGACCTATAATCAGCTCGTGAGACATAATTATTAAAGGACTTGAGAACTGAGTGTAAAAAAAAAATCCTACAAGATGCAGCGTAAATAATTTTGTTTTCCTTTTAAAATAAAAAAAGATTTAAAATTACCATGATTCCATAAAAAAAACTGATTTTTTCAATTGATAATTTCATTCATTTCATTGTGCACAATTTCATTTTCTCGATCTTTCTATCATTAGCTTAGAACTATTTGCTCTGTGGAAGACTTTAGTTTAACAGAACTTCTATCTCTATGGTTATGAATCCTCCAACCAGGTTTTCTCTGCTGGTTAACCAAGTGATTTAAAACGTAAACAACATTGGAAGCACTCGAAACTATACGTGATGTTTCACTTTAAGTTATTAGCTACTGTTATTGTTTGTCCTGTTACACAAATATGATCAATGCCATTAGACCTTTAATATGCATGTGGTATTCAAGTCCTATTAGCACCTGTGTAAAGTAAAGAAAGAAATAGATCTGAACCTACACCAAACACGCCCAAAACACCCCCTACTGATGAAACCGAACTCAAAACACGCTGAGTACTAAACAGAACTCTTACTCCAAAGTCACTGATGACGAACCCCCGCAAAAAGACTATAACATACTTTTAGGAACCGAATATTTTTTACTACAGGGACAAATAATTGCTTACGCCAGGGCAGAAATGATTATGTAACACTTTAATTAAAACTAAAAAAACTTAATTTCAAAATGACATGCTGTTACCAAAATTATCTCTTTTATAAATTATCCCCTACAATCCCCCCTCCCCCACACCCCGGGTGGCCACCCTGCGAACTCCTTATTGGGCATAGACTAGACTTGTATTACTGCATGTAAATATCACTGAGTGGCCGACTCTTTTTACCCCATGTTAAAAAGAATGGTAAAGCTAGGTTAAGTGTCACATTGGGCGGATCAATCTTGTTGCCCCCCCCCCACTTTTTTTTCACTAAAAAAACGTCTGCAGGTAGCAAAACATCGCACCCTTGATAATAGGAAGAAAAAAAAAAGTCTTCAACTGCGTTACTGCAACTTTGTAACTTTCAATTGATTTAGAGTTTATGTATAAGATTACTACCCACGGTATTTAAGAGATGTCCTGGCCAGTGTTCAAGGTTGAGAAGATTTTAAGCAGTTTCAAATGATGCTTTTAATAGCGGGTCGTCCATAAAGCGACGTCCGCAGAGACGGGGACAGGGGGAGTTCCTTCAAAAACGGACAATATGGGATGGGGCTGAAGTGTGTTGGGGCACCCGCATGACAGTGGGATGGGGCTGAAGTTTCCCGCGCAGCAACTATAATAGGATTATTGCATTATTTAGAATGAAATTCAATTTACCTCTCAGGAAGTAGTTCCTGCTCGAGGTGTCGCTGCAGGAAGTTTAGTCAGATGTATATCCAAGATCTGCCTAGATATTAACTCTAGCGAAATGTCTCAATCGGTTTATAAGTTAGGCGATGGGCCTTATTTGTAGGTATGCGAAAAATTTTAGCATACTTGAATTTACCAGTCAAAGTGCCTAATTTCAAAATCGAAACGTGAGTCTTTCATTTTATGCAGATTTTTGGTGCTGGTTGGCCAATTGGTCTAAATTGAGTCAATTTCAAGCTTGTGGACAGGAGTTTAATTCCCAGATAACGCCTAGACAGGCGAAAACATCACCAGCACCCCGGTATGGTAGGGACTCGTTAGCCGCAGGTGGCAAATCGTCTAGGAGAGGACGAACTCTGAAATCAAACCCGGAGATGGAGTCCCGTACGCATTATGAGATTGACTTAATGAAAATTCCGACTACCCCTGCGACGTAGAACGCAAATAGAGGACAATGAAACATACACACTGCTCGTCATCTCCTGCATCCTGGTCTATTTTCCAGTATTCTTGAATAAGTCTATTAGTGACTTGACGACTGTGTTACTTACACTTCTTTTAAGGCATCCTAAAAAAAGAAAAAAAGTTTTTATATATCTTATTATTAAGTAGTAGGAATAATGTGATGATGTAAATAATTTGAAAAAGTGATTCCATAACTGTTTATGTTGTTGTTTTTTTGAGTTGTTTTAGTCATAGTTTTAACAAAATGTATACTGAATAGTAAATTATTCAAAATTATAGTAGGCCTAGAATAGCCTCGATATTTTAATGCTTAAGGTATGTTTAGACAGTTAAATACGCCTATAGTATGTTTAGACAGTGACTTCTTAATGTGAACCTGTAGCTTGCTTAGACAGGGACTTTTTAATAAACACTTATAGTATTTTAGACAGTTACCTTTCAACGTATGGCTATAGTATGATAAGACAGTTACTATCATTATAAAGATAGTTACATTTCGACGCTGCTCTTGTGATATAATTGTTAAAAATGGAAAACAACTTTTTTTCTTTAATTTTTAAAAATTTTGACTTGGTAAATATTTTACACATTTTAAATACAAGGACATGATAAACCTAAGAATAAGGATTATCCTGAGTGAGTTTGTTCAGGCCACTTGCCTTGGATTTTATTATCAAGCATAAACATATCTGGTTCCACTATTTATTTACTCTTAAGACGTTGCTTTACGTGTAAAGTAGAAACTTATTCATGTCTTTTGTGTAAATCAGTTATTTACAAGTTGATGACATATCATTGGTTTTGTTAATTTTGAAATAATCATTTTTAAATAATCACGATTTTAAATATATATTGCAGAGCTTTGTTATCTGACAATGAATGTATTTTTTTTTTTTAATTCCTTATTCAAGATACAAACTCAACTAAAATTGTAAAAAAATAATTTTAATTCAGCAAAATATATAATAAAAATACTCAATAAAAACAATTGTGTGACTTATGAAATAGGTGTCATCTTCGCATTTGTTGATCTATGTTTTTTTTAATATACATATTTGAAATAAATGTGCATTGTGTTACATAACCGGTGTGATGAAGATGTGACTGAAGAAAACAAACAGACCACATTAGTAAAATTTATATTTAGACTACTCTTCAAATATGCGAAAAACTTCTAAGGCGATAATGATTGCATTACATTTGAATCAGAAATAGAAAAAGGTTTTCAAGGCATGATAAAGTCTCGTGTTATTTGTCTTACCATTTTATCTATTGTGGGTTCAGCTTTCTTCTATCGGTATCTCAAAATCGCTATTATCGTGAGTTAGTTTATCAACATTTAAATTTCTTTAATCCATTTACGTAGAGATTTTAAAAAAAAATATGTTTTAAAATACGCTGATGCAGTACTGGTTTTTGGTTGTTGAAACCTTGTTTTAAAAACTAACCACACAGGTACAGACAAACCCACGTGTTAACCACGCATAACGCCATAAATGCTAGAAGATGAACTAGGCTGTTCATCTTGTTGTTCGTACATCTGATAAGTTATATAAGTTAAGTTAAATTATTGCATATTTTCTTGCCGAAAAGGCCCATACACGTCAAATGCACTTTACGTAAATAAAGTATAACATGGAGAAAACTGCGTCGAGTTGTAAGCCAAACAAAAAAAAAAAAAAAAAAAGAAAGAAAAAAAAAAAAAAAAAAAACATCTGATAAGTTATATAAGTTAAGTTAAATTATTGCATATTTTCTTGCCGAAAAGGCCCATACACGTCAAATGCACTTTACGTAAATAAAGTATAACAAGGAGAAAACTGCGTCGAGTTGTAAGCCAAACAAAAAAAAAAAAAAAAAGAGGATGTGAATATTGGATTAAAAATATGAACAGAATCGGGAACGAGTCGCCCGTCAGCCTTCTTTGTCGAACAGATTTTATGGTATTGTTCCACTGTAGCAAAAATAATTATGCTGGCGCAGGGTTCCACTGTAGCAAAAATAATTATGCTGTCGCAAATACCAAAAAATAATGGAGAAAGAATTGCTACAAATATTGCGTAAATAAATATAAACGGTTGTTGTTTATGGTCGTATCTCCCTTAAACTAGATATAAAAAAACAAGTCAGTTATCTTATTCAAAGTAATAAAATTAAATAAATACGAGTTTTTCTAAGTATGTAATTTAAAAATATTTAAAAAAACGGAAATTGCCTTCAAAACTTAAGTACTTGTATTTTAATTTATTTAAATTTATTTACTTGTAGTTTTTTTGCCCTTGCGTTTGAAGAAATCAAACGTTTTGGTGGTTTATATGATTACGAAATATGTGTTCAAAATTATCGATATTATTCATTCAGATATTATTCATTAATAAAATCTATTTGTACTTTTTACAAGTTATAATTTAAGTTATAGTTTTTCAAATTGCACTGAGTTTGATAAATATGCCAATTCAGAAGACAAGCGACAGTGAAGTAAGTAGTGAGGAGTGTGAAAAAGGGTGGTTGGTGAGAAAAGTGTGGGAGTGAGGAAATGGTGGGGTCGTTGGCAAATCCTTCAGAAGTAAAAACAAAATAAGATTTTATGTCAGCGAAGAAATTCTTGGTACTCTCCCTTTCACCAATGTTGCACATTCCTCTTGCTCTCCTCTTCAATTGCTGCCAAGGCGAAGCATTTATTTTTATATTGTTTTCGCTGCTGTTGTTTTTTTCCGGTGAGGAGAGCTTCTTGCCGTCACAATGGTTGTTTGGTCACGTCATTTTTTTTAGGTTTTACCCTTAATTTGTTTGGTTTATTTCCTTGTAACAATGTTCATGCGGGCTTTTCAATGTACTTTCCACACAAGCAAACCAATTAGTTTAAACTTTTGTGCGGCTGTATTGTTTGAAGCTGTTGTCCAGACAGACTATCAACATTTTTTTTTTGGTTGGGGGGGGGGGGGTTTATATTATTGTAATATTTTTTTATAGTCAAAAACATAGTGTTTACAGAGTAAAATAAATTGGTAATAACATTAAAGGAAACATAGCCTTTAATTCTGTAATTTTTTTTTTGTTGGGGGGGGGGGGGGTTTATATTATTGTAATATTTTTTTATAGTAAAAAACATTGTGTTTACAGAGTAAAATAAATTGGTAATAACATTAAAGGAAACATAGCCTTTAATGCTGTTTTGTTGCTG